CTCTCTCTCTCTCTCTCTCTCTCTCTGTGCCTGTGGAGGACAGAAGAATGTGTTAGATTCCTTGAAACTGGAGTTAGAAGCGGTTGAGTGCCACCAGACTTGAATGCTGGGAATTGAACTCATGTCCTCTGCAACAGCAGCACATACTCTTAACTGCTGAACCATCTCTCCAGCTCCTCTAATCTCATTCTTGCTCATGTAAGCATTTAGTTTTCCCAGCACTATTTGTTGAAAATACTGTTCTTTCCCCATAGATAATCTTAGCACATATTAATTCAAACAATTTTACAATTGATAGAAAGATTTATTTTTGTGCTTTTATTGTTTTACTGGCTGTATGTCAGTCTTCATCTTTATTGGGTATAATAGCTTTTAAATAAGTTTTAAAGTAGGAAGTATAAGTTCTCTGGCTTTGTTCTTGGGGTAGGGCATGGGAACACATTCCTATCACCCCAGCACTCTAGAGGATCAGGCAGGGGGATCACGAGTTCAAAGTCAGCTTGAGCTACACAGTCAGTGTGAGGCCATCTGGGCTATATAGTGTGACCCTGTATTCAAATAAACAAACAAATAAGAAAATCCAAAGGCAATGAGGGAGGGGGGCTATTCATGATCTCTTGAGAGTCCATATGAGTTTTAGGATGTATTTTTCTATTACTGCAAAAATTATGATTAGGAATTTGTTAGTGACTGCACTGCCTTCCTTGAGTGTGCTGAGGACTGAGTGGTGCTGACAGTCAACAATACTGTCCTCCAGTGTACATGGGATATCTTTCCATTTATGTACACACTTGTTAAACCTTTCAGCAGCGTTTGTAGCTTTCATTGCATTATAACCTATAGACTCAAATAGCTGTCTGTAAGATTATACTCCCTCTTTCCTTTCCCTTTCTCCTTCCCTCCCTCCCTCCCTCCCTTCCTTCCTTTGATTTTCTTGAGACAGAATCTTGCTATGTAGCCCAGGCTAGCCTGATACCCACTACATAGCCAGGCTGGCTTGCTATTCACTATGTAGTCCAGGCTGATCTCAAACTCACAGTGATCCTCCTGAATCAGCTTTCCATGTACTGGAATTAGAGGTACCTCCATACTTAACTTGAAAACCTCTTTTTTCCAGAAAAACTCTCATGAGTAATTGTAGAAGGAATAGAAATAGCAATAGAAAATTAGCGTTAAGCCAACACTATAATAATTTAGCTACAGATAAGACTCACCAATGGACTCTAAAATTAGTGGGTATATTTAAAGAAAGATAGGACATTTGTATAGTTTCCAAATCTATTCTCCAAGATATGTATTATGTGAAAATGCAAATAAAATAACAGTGAAGTATGACTCTGAGAAAAGTTACAAGAAATAAAACCTATGCATATATACACCTTCTTCCATTGATTACTCAAAATGCATAACTTCAACCTAATTGTGAGAAAATAACTGGCTAGTACTTATGAAGTGACAAGGTTATCAAAGACAATAAAAGGGGCCTGTGAGACAGCTAGTGGTAAAGTGCTTGCTACATGAGCCTGATGGCTTGAGTTCAATCCCCAGAACCCCTGGAAAGGTGGAAAGAGTGAACTGACTCTACAAAGTTGTCCTCTGACCTCCTCCACACGTGTGCTGTGGCATGCACACCTACAGACATACATCAAGTGCACACACATACGATAATAATAAAGTTAAAAATGTAAAGAAGAGTAGTCTGAGAAACTGTCATAGATGAGACTGTGAGGACACTGTTGAAGCAACAGTACAATGTGGCATTTCCAACTGGATCCTGGAACACGCAAAGGACACATGGGAAAACTGGTGGTATCCAAAGAGAGCTTATAGTTTACTTAGTAGTACAGTACCAGTGTTGACTATTTTCTTGTTCTGGTAATTCTATCTTGGTTATATTAACATAAAAGAAAGCTGGGTAAAGGGTCTATATACTTTCTGTCCTCTTTTTGCAAGGTTTCTATAAATTAAAATTATTCAAAATAAAAAGGCTAGCGAGGCATTTCTTCTGAAGGCCATTAATCACAGCTGCTGCGTTTCTGCATTTTAATACTGATGGAGCAGAAAGTCAGAGTTCTGGAGTCAGCCACATGCAAATTCAAGCTCAGCCTTCCATTTTCAGGAGCTATGTCTTTCTGAGAGAGCTCATGGTTGCAGATTTGGGAAGGCTGAAGATGACTCTCTCAGGGCTTGGGACAATGAGTCAATTTCTCATGCTGGTGCTTCCACCCCAGGAGTCATTACATAGGACTGCAGACAGAACTTGGGAAAATATACAGCATTATAAACAATGTGCAAACACACAGCACTGTGTATGACTGATGTCTTCTGAAAAAGAACCCCCAAATTTAACTTAAAAACTTATATATATATATGTGTGTGTGTGTGTGTGTGTGTGTGTGTTCATGTGTGTGAATGTGCATGTGCAAATCAGAGGACTACACAGTGTCCATCCTCAGCTTTCATCTTGTTTGAACGAGCCTCTTGTTTACTCCTATCTACATCAATCTAGCTGGCCCATGAGCTTCCATGGCTTCTCTTGTCTCTGGCTCTCCCCTTGCTATAAGATCACTACCATGCCCACCCTTATGTGGGTTCTGGGGATTTGAACTCAGGTCTTTATGCTTGTGTAACAATCACTTTACCTACCAAGCCATCTCTCCAAGGCCCCAAATTTAATTTTTGAAAAATCAAGCAACAGCCAGAAATTCTCCACTCTATTGTTAACTATGTTTCATTTTTTGATTCATACCTACAATATTTTCGGAAAAAGTAGCTGAGAAAATGTTTATGTACCAGAAGTTATAAAGACGATTCATCATGAGTTTGAGTTATATATCATCTTGAAAAAGAAATGGCATCCAATAAAAGTTCTCCAAATACGCACATCTTTTGTCATTTGCAGTAGATTTCAGTAAGTGTGATTTATGTGAAAACAACTGTGGATATACATGATCCACCCTGGGAAGCACATAAATCACAGAAACTTAGTTTCAAAAGTCTTGAAGAAATTCCCTTGCTTTGGAAACTAATATAATTAGTCCTCTTCTAGTGTATTTATATGCATTGCAAATTTGTATGCTTATACGGTAAGTTTCTTTGTGTGTGTGTGTGTGTGTGCGTGAGTGTATGCATGCATGTGTGTGGAGGCCAGAGGTTAACCTTGGTTATTGTTCTTCAAGGCATCATCCACCTTATTTTTTGAGACAGGGTCTCACTGGCCTGGAGGTTGGTGATTTAGCTATGCTGCCTGGCTGGTGCATCCCAAGGATCCACCTGTCTACCTCCTTAGAGTTGGGGTTACAAATGTGCGCTACCACACCTGGCCTTTTTATATAGTTTCTGGGGATTGAACTCAGGTCCTTATGCTTTTGTGACAAGCACTTTACTGGTTGAGCTATCTCCCTGTTCCCCCTAAGTTTTCTCAGTAAGTGAAAACTTCTTATATATTTTCCCAATAGTTTTTCAGATCTCTATTTAAATGCGTCATCTAAATCTATTTCTTGCCAGGTTTATCTCTATGGGGTGAAGAGAGTATCTCTATGGGGTGTAGATGAGGAACCTTAGAAGAAGGAAGGATGGGGTAACTTGCACAACAATAACAACAAGCCAATATAAGACAAAACACATGATTTTTTTCATAAAACTCCACTATCTACAATTCAGAGATCCACTGTTCTTGGCAAACATGTGGTCTCACTGTAACTCAAGGGGAAGAAAAGCATTGAGTGCAGAGGTCTGAATCGAGTGTCTGTGTGGACTAAAGACGGGGCGGGGGGCACTTACCAAGCAGAGAGGAGTACAACCGCATCATTGAGAAGGCCAGGTGGATAGGGGATGTTTGAACCACAAACTTGCACTGAAGGCGATTAAAATCCAGACAGGGCTGGACCAGCCACATGAACATGTCTTCGACCTGAGGGCAGAAAGTTACATGAGACTGTGAAGGGCTCGACCCACCTCAGGAGACTGGAGATGCTGCTACAATGGCTGGTTACTTTTGAGGGTCAGTTTCACCAAATATAAGGGGATTGATCCAGAGTCTTACCAGTTCCTTGTGCTCATTGGTGAGGCAGGAGGGCAGGGTGTCCATGTATGAGTCCTTCAAGGGCCTCCAGCCTAGCTGGTGGGCCTCCATGTAGATCATCCCACACCTGGAAACACAGGCAATCAGGCTTGGTATAGGCTTGTTCATTACTAGCACTGGATAACATTTCTTGGGCACCAACAGTGTGTTATACAACATGCTAGGCTTTAACGGACTTTGTCAATAACCTTCATCTTATGATCTCTCTCATCTCCCTAGGTTAACTATGCTTCCCACTGAGATAACAGAGCACCATGAATCTTGATTTCTTTGCTTCTTAGTCTTACAGCATTGTATATCTTGTAAAGTGCATATATGTGTGTGTACACACACATACACATGTATAGTTTAAATCTGAAATGTCCCCCATAGCCTCATATTTTGAATGCTGTTCCCCCAGCTGGTGGTGCTATTTGGGGGGAGGCTGTGGAATCTTAAGAAGGTGGGGCCCAGCTAGAGGAAATCAGTCACTGGGGGAGGACCTTTGACAGTTCTAGTCATACCTCTGGTTCCTTCATCACTTTGGCTCACCATGATGTGAACAGCCTTGGCCACATGTTTCTGCTACATGGTATGAACTGCTCCACTATGCCTTCCTGGCCAGGAAGGACTGAAACCCTTTGAATCTGTGAGCCAGAATAAACCCTTCCTTCCTTTTTAAAAATTTAAGGTTTTTATCTATGTGTATGTGTGTGTGTGTGTGTGTGTGTGTGTGTGTGTGTGTGTGTGAATGTGTCATGTGTGTGCAGGTACCCATAGAGGCCATTGGATCTCCTGGAGTTGGAATTACAGGTGTTTGTGAGCCTCCTGACATGGGTTCTGGGAACCAAACTCAGGTCCTCTGGGAGAACCAAGAAGTACACTTACCTGCTGAGTTATCTCTCTAGCTCCTCCTCCTCCTCTTCCTCCTCCTTCTGCCTCCTCCTCCTCCTCTTCCTCTTCCTCCTCCTTCTCCTCTTCCCCCTCCTCCTCCTCCTCCTTCTCCTCCTCCTCCTTCTCCTCTTCCTCCTCCTCTGCACCACGACTGTGGCCAGAGAGGAAATGCCAGCTCCTGGCCTAACTGGAAGCGCGATCGGGCACAGGGAGGGTGAGAGCCTACGGTCCTACACACCAAGCACGGGTGGACACTCAGCGATGGGGGAGGGGTCTGCAGACCTGCTGGCCAAAATGATTTTGTACATCGTGGACCCATGGGGCTGGGAAATGGCTAGGACAGAGTCTCCTGAGGATAGAGGGCAGGCGTGCGGTTAGTAGCTGAGCGTGGAGTCGTCCCACTCCAGCTGCTGCTGCCGGGTGGCGTTCTGGCCATCTCCCGGACCCCCCTCCTCCTCCTCGCTGCTCTCCGACTCAGCACTGGTGATGTCCTCTTCCTTCCTCCTCCTCCTCCTCTCCTCTTCCTCCTCTTCCTCTTCCCCCTCCTCCTCCTCCTTCTCCTCTTCCTCCTCCTTCTCTTCCTCCTTCTCCTCTTCCTCCTCCTCTTCTTCCTCCTCCTCCTCATTCTCCTCTTCTTCCTCCTCCTCCTCCCCCTCTTCCTCCATTTCTTCTTCCTCCTCTTCTGTCTCCTTGCTTTCTCCTTCTCTTTATCCTTCTTCTGTTTAATTTCACTTTATTTCATTTTCTTATGTTCAATTCCTTAAGTTGTTTCTGTCAGGTCTTTTAGTCACAGTTGTGCTACCACACACACACACACACACACACACACACACACACACATACACACACACACACACAAAATGTATACACACAGTGTTTTAGTTGATCTTTAACCATTTAACAAGGGTATCATATTTTAGCCAATATTTGTGTTTTCCTTTTAAAAATTTTATTTATTTATTTATTTTATTTATTTATATGTGGGGGGGAGTGCATGCCACAGAGCAAATGTGGCCATCAGGCGAGACAACTCCGTGGAGTCAGTTCTCTCCTTTCACCTTTACAAGGGTTCTGGGGATTGAACTAAGATCACTAGGCTTGCATGGCTTTACCTGCTGAGCTACTTCATTGGCTTGCCATCTATTTTTATAAATAATATTTCTAACTAACCTTTAATATACTAAGATTTATTTATATAGCTACATGTCAATGCAGCTTCTTTATTTTGTGACATACATACAAATATTATAACTTCTGATTGTTATACCTTATTCATTCATTCATCTAGCCCAAAATTCATTTGGGCTGTTCCTAAGTGTTTGTTTCTGGGAGTTTTGCTGTTGTGAATATTCTATGACAGATCTCCTATTGGTCATCGATAAAAAGCTTCCTTGGAGCATGAACTTAGGGGAAATGTGCCACCTAGTGAGTAAGCCCAGACTGTTCCACCTGCCTGTGGAACGCTCTACAGCCTTACCTGTGGGTACATACACATGCACATACATGCACACACAAGCACTCAGTCTGTTTCAAGGACCTATGGGATTTAGAACCAGACAAGCAATGTCTGTAACAAGAAGCTGTGCCTCAGTTTCACCGTATATAAAGTGGGAAAGCAGTCATCAAGGAGGGTGACTATAATTAATACACATGTAATGTCCAGCTTCTCAGCACTTCACAGGAGTTTCCTGAACAACAGTCTTATTCTTTCAATTTTCTTACATTGAGATATTCAAATGATATTGTGCGTGCCCAGCATTCTCAAAGCCCAGGTTGGATACTTTGTGTAGGGAAGGGAAGGGAATGACCGCTGGGTTGCCAGAAAATCAAAGTTCAACTTTAGGAGATAATGACAAACTCTTTTCCAAAACTTTTGCTGGGATATTAGACCCCACTATCAGTGTGTGTTGAGGAATAATTATATGACAAGTCTAAGTGAATAACAAACAGTGGAGGCTATTTGTGGACTCCACTTATTTATTTATTTATTTATTTATTTATTTATTTATTTATTTATTTGTCTTTTTGAGACAGGGTCTTCCTATAGCCCAAGCTGGACTGAACTAGCTATGTAGACCAGGCTGGCCTTGAATTCACAGAGATCCACCTCCCTCTGCCTCCCAAGTGCTGGGACTAAAGGCAAGTGCCACCACGCCTGGCTTTATTTTTATTTTTTTAAAAATATTTTATTTGTTACTTTTATTTTTTGTGTAAGAGTATATGCCTGCATGTATATAAGTACATCTGTGTCTTGCAATGCCCGTAGAAGAGAGCGTCGGAATCCCCTGGAACTGGAGTTAACAGTTATTTGCCGCCATGTGGGTGCTGGGAATCAAACCTGGGTCCTCTGTAAGAGCATCCAGAGCTCTTAACCTCTGAGCCATCTCTCCAGCCCCACCTCTGTGGACTTTTAGGGCTTTCTCTCCTGCTTAGGGTTAGTGGGCAACCCTTCCACCCAGGTGCCAGTGCACTGACTCACCGGCTCACTGTGGCAGGGGAGGCCTGCTCCAGGTCCGCTGGCTCAAAGATCAGGCTCATCTTGGGGCTCATCTGTATGATCTCTCCACTCATTAAACACAGCTGAAAGTGCAAAGCAGAGTACCACAGTGGAGACAGAGTTGACTGAGTGTAGCTTACAAATATATTTTAAGCACCCACTATGTGTCAGGCATCCTTCTAAGTGCACAGGAGAAAACAGATGGTAATTCCTGTCCTCTTGGGTTTCCATTCTGCTGGGAGGAGAGAGAAGATAGCAAAATGTGTAGAATACAAACTGATTCTACACAAAAATGCCTTGGGGAGCAGTTGGAGAGTGTTCTGCCATGGTTGAGTGACTTGTAAGTGTAGATAAGGAGAACAAGGCCTCACACTGAATTACAACCAGAGATGAGGAATTGAGAGGTTATCAATGCTTTTGAAGTTTCTTGGCCCTTTCCTTTGTGTTTAACATAGAATTTGTTGTTGCTACTTTAGGGGAGCAGTTGGAGAGTGTTCTGCCATGGTTGAGTGACTTGTAAGTGTAGATAAGGAGAACAAGGCCTCACACTGAATTACAACCAGAGATGAGGAATTGAGAGGTTATCAATGCTTTTGAAGTTTCTTGGCCCTTTCCTTTGTGTTTAACATAGAATTTGTTGTTGCTACTTTATTATTATTATTATTATTATTTAGTTCCCAAATACTTTCAGCATTTTTGGCCTTTGGAACATAGTATTTTGCTAACAGGCCCAAGGACATTTTGACTTTTAGCCAAGAAACTGGCTACATTTCTTTGGGGTCTTTTTACCCTA